GCGACACAGTTTATGAGGATATGTGGGGAAGATAACAGATAGTAGAGATCGAGGAAGCATACTTTTGGCATCTACAAATCAGCTATTCTCGTTATTCGTTATAACTAAAGAAAAAAGCCACACAATAATATCAGCTATGAACACGGCCACAATACGTGGACTGTCTTCGTAAATAACAAAACATTCCCAGCAGTATAGATACTCATATATAAAAATCTACCTGTTGAGTTTAAAAAACATCTTTTCTAATGGCTAATAGAATCGTCAGAAAGTGCTCGGATATGTAGAATTTTCGGACAGTTTTTACATTATTTACGTCCAGAAACGAAAACACTTGTACGAATGCAAGAAAATTTGAATGAAAAATTAATCACAGTACTTTGTCAGTTGTCTTTAATGAAAAATGCACACAAAAAATGTTATATTTATATAATATATATATATATATATATATATATATATATTATATATATATATATATATATTGTGAAATTTTTTTAAATAACTAAGTAAAAATACAAATGCCTCGGTTATGCGCTAGAATGATTTTTTTATGCAAGTTCTGCAGTATAGAATCGTTCCTCTTCGAAAAGTCTCCAGACATCCTAGCTCTTTGCGAAACTAATCTCAACTCTTCAATATCCTCCTCTGATTTCTCGATTCCTGCTACCTTCCTTCCCTTAGAAAGGACTCTAATGTCCACATATATGGCCTGGGAGTTTATGCCCGCGAACATTTCCCGCCTGCTAGGGAACTCTCTTGAATCTTCAAACCATTCTTACATGTGTCTCCGTCCCTCTCTACTTAAATAATCCAACGAATCTTTCTCTCAAGACTTTTGCGTGCTAGATAGTATTTCCCATAATATAGACAAGTGCATCTCCCTATATCCGTCTGCAAATATATTTGTGTTCGGTTAGTTTAATGTCCACCATCCCAGATGGCTTAAACACTCTGTCACTGACCTCGTTGGCATCTAAACCCTTAAATTCTCAATCACTCAATCTATCAGGCAAGTGCTGAACTTCATCACGCGTTTCTTCAGTAACCCTGACGGACACGGTTCTCTTGTCGATCTGTTTTTTTAACTTTATCCTCTGCCCTCTTGGCAACTCTGATCCTTTGGTAGTGTCTGTAAACATCTACTTCCGCTCCCCAACCAGCCAAAAAACCTCCTACTAACAGAATATCTTTCAGTTATTAACGAGCAGATTGGGACACGTTCCGTGATTTACATGGCGACGTCCCTTGGAATGAAGTTTTTAATCATCCTGTTCAAAAATGCATGTCTGAAGTCTCCTCCTGGGTGAAAGCCGGCATCGATGCTTTCATTCCAGCCAGGAAATACCATGCATTCTCGGCCGATATAGCTTACAGAAATCACTTCTTCCGGCTGTAGCAGAACGACATGTCTGATTGCAATCCACGTCGCTTTGTCTCTGTTAGTATCGAGTGCAATGAAGCGAAGTTACCTCGCAAGTTCTGTTCTAGTGATTATTAGCGTCCCTTCAAGACTGTGCTGAACCACAGCAAATCCTCAATCCCTCTTCTATTCAATTAATTCGAAGTCCTGACATCTACAACAGATGCGTTTGAATGCTTTGCTCGGAAATCCTTTTCCAACTCAACACTCATCTGGAGTACGTACCCCTATTTCCCCACCTTTGAATTGAGGTTCTACTGAGTGATACTCGCATAACTCCGTCACTGGTCTCGGACATCATTTCTAAATTAGACTCCCGTAAGGAAAGTCGAGGTGACGGATACCAGCCGTCGTCCTAAAGAAATGTACTCCCGAGCTGGCTCCAGTTCTCTCCAAACTCCACAACTACTGTCTCACTGCTTCCTGCTTTCCAGCTTGTTGGAAGTCCTCATTTGTAGTTCCTGTTTTTAAGAACTCATGAAAACCTTATGACCGTTCTAACTATCGCCCTATTAGCCTCCTGCCACTTTTCAGTAAAGTATTCGAGGGTTTAATAAATACCGAAGTGCATAAGCATCTTACTTCTAACGACTTACTCTCTGACAAACAATATGGTTTCCGTTTTGCCCGGTCTACTGCTGACGTGCTTACGGTCATCACTGAATATGTATTTCAAGCTCTTAATAACGGCGAAGCTAGAGCTTTGGCTCTAGATACCTGAGAAGCGTTTGATAGAGTTTGACATATTGTTCTTCTATGTAAGCTTCAGGGCTTGATATACAGGATACTTGATATATACAGTATTACAGGACCATTGTTTGATTTAATCCAATCATTCATATCAAATCGTGAAATGAAGGCCGTTCTGAACGGTCTCTTCCAGATCCTTTCACACGAATGCGGTGTCGCACCAAGGCTCTATTCTGGGCCCTACGCTGTTTCTGATCTTCATCAATGATCTTCGAGATGTCATCATTTCTCAAATAGGCATTTATGCAGATGACACTACCATTTACTCCTGTCTCAATAGTAAAAACCCCAGGAAAAGTGGTTAACTGGGATAGGAATTGGCTTGTAAATTTTAATGCCTCCAAAACTAAACTGCTCTCATTTAACCACCATAGAGAAACTTCCCTGTCCCCAATCAGCAAGGCTGATGTTCCACTCCCGGAGAGCGTCTTACTGCGCCTTCTTGACCTCCAGCTTTCAACTGACTTGAAGTAAAACAACTATATTGAATCAATAGCTGCGTCTACTGCAAAGAAAGTTGGTTCACTGTATCGTGACAGAAGTCCATCTTACTCATTTACAAATCTACCATTCGGCTTTGCATTGAATACTGTTGCCATATTTGAACTGGTGCTCCTGCTATTCATCTCGAAGTTCTTGACAAAATCCAAAAAAGGATCTGCAATGTAATGTGTCTTTATTTGGTATCTCGACTTCAGTCACTTTCTCACAGACGTGATGTGGCTTCCCTCTGTCTTTTCTACAAATATTTTCATGGCAACTGCTTCGATAAGCTTTTTTCCCTGGTGCCCCGACTAAATAAATTTGCGCACGCTACTAAATAGACATCTAGGCCCCACCCTTTTATTGTTGAAATAGTTAAATGTAACCGTCCTTCTATTCCAACAGTTTATTTTTAGCGTACTTTCCGTTTACTTGCTTCCCTGAAAACTACAATCTTCAAAAATTTAAATGCAAATGTTCTTAAATAGGCTCGTCAAATCGAAACTTTCACATGGATGCCATGTATGGCACCAAACTCGTTCAGAAATATCCAAAATCTCAGCTGAATACAACTGCTAAGATAATTGAAAGAAAATGGCTTCAAGCAATGAAAACTGTAGCTTTTGGCGAAGATCATTCTTCTTTGAAACTTGTAGACTGGTGCTATAGAATCACAAAGAACTGCAGAAAATAATGGAAACCACATCAGTTTCAACAGCGGTGAAAGCTAAAATGGATAACACCTGTAACTCGAAGAGAAAATCATGATATAATCAAGATGTTGACATTCCACACTACATTAAACAAAAGGTTAGGAAGGAAACCTCTATCAGTATTAGAAAGAGCAATAATAGTTATTGAACTTGAGAAAACTATTTTCCTGAAAAATTCTCAAAATAGAAAGATTTTATGAATTCAATATGTGTATTTAGTAAACACTAAACACTTCAAATACGTCGTTACATGGATCAGTTATGACAAATTTATTATATAGAGATTTGATACAAAACCAAAACATTAGCCTAAAAACTTTAGTCATATTCTTAAATAGCCTCATGTGATCAAGATTTTCAAATGGATGCCATGCATGCTGTCAAACTTAGAAATATTCAAGCTTACTCAAATCAATGGTTAAAAGTGCTTGGAAGAAGTGAAGCCTATGGGTGTTGGTGAAGACTTTGTGGACTGGCGCTACAGAGTCACAGAGAAAGAACTGTACCAGATAAGAGAAACCTGAATTTCAACTGCAGCAACAGATAAAACGGATATCACATGTAATTTGAAGAGAGAAATAATGACACAATGAAGATGCTGACATTCCACACTACTTCAAATAAAAGGTTAGGAAGGAAACCCTCATCAATACTGGAAAGAGTGATAAAAGTTACTGGGCTTAAGAAACATACTTTCATGAGACATTGTTTTAAGAGAAAGATTTTAGAAATTTAATCGAGTAGTGCAAGATGCTCGGCCAATGAATACCGAATGTTTCCTTATAAGGAAACGGCTAATATTAGCATTACCATTGTACAACACGTAGATAAGCTTAGTGAATCTCGATGACATGTGTGAAAATAAGCACATTAGAAGTACGAAGCAGCATGACGTCAAATCAAATTGAAATCTTTATACAATTACTTTAATCCTTCCCGCGCAGGATTCGTCTTGCTTGGTCTTTGTGGAATCGGAGAATCAAGTTCAAATTCTGGTCAAGTCAGTTGCGTTCACTTTCGCGTAAATGCTCTTGGTAGTGTAGTAGTTAAGGACATGGAAAATGGAATCTAAGAGTCGAGTTCAGGTTCCGGTTTTGCTGCAATTACTTCGAACTAACGCTCTAGGGAAAAATATGAATCTGTTTCTTTTCCCCGCCCCCTGCCGCCGAGCTATGACGAAAAATTTAACAAAGTCGACAGGTTTTAAACAACCCTGTCTACCTTGGGTGGTAACAGAAAGACGAATTCGAAATCCAAAAAGGCAACGAGAATCTACTCCACTGTCTTTCATATGAAGTCATGGCAATTCGCAGAGAATTAATCAGTGAAGAACTATGGTCGTTTATCTTCTGAAGGGATATAGAATTAAAAAAAGAAGAAGCTGTATGATAATATTGAACCAAAACAAAAGGAAACAGTACATTATCAGAGATAGGAACAAATGAGCCTAAGAAGATAAATACTCTCGGAAAAGGAAAAAAAATAGTTTTGTAGTAAATACATTGATTGTTTCTCGATATTTGTCAGGTATGGTAGTTTTAACTACTAGCCAATGAATATTATTGCTAAAGTCTTTTTGTATTTCAAAAAGAGGCCAATAAAATTTAATTGAAGTGTGTAACAAATGGAATTTAATCTCGTTGCTCAGTCGTTGTAAAGGTAGAAAAAGATAAACCAAACGAACATGGAAGAGAGAGAGAGAGAGAGAGAGAGAGAGGGGGAGGGAGAGAGAGAGAGGGAGGGAGGGAGAGAGAGAGAATAATTGAGAAAGAAAGCCTGTAGAAAGGAAGGGAAAAGATAGAGATTATAAATTATAGGAAGAAGAATCACTGAGAAAGAAATATAATGCAAATATCGAGGGGAAAGGAGGAGGAAGAGATTGAGCAGTGTGGTGAGAGAGAGAAAAAGAAAATCCTCGAGAAAGAGAGGCGAAACTGTAAAGGAAGGGGAAAAGGAGGAGGAAGAGGAGGAGGAGAGAGAGAGAAATGATCACCGAGAAAGAAAGCTGAAACTACAAAAGAAGGGAAAATGGAGGAGGAGGAGGAGGAGGAGGAGGAGGATCAGAAGCAGCAGGGTTGGAAAAAAGAAATAGTATAATAAAACACAAAGGTTAATAAAGAGAGAGAGAGAATGAAAGAGATGAGAACCGAGAAAGAAAACCGAAAAATACAAAAACTTGTGAAAAGGAGTGCCTCACCTTCAGAGAGAGGGACACAGAAAATAACCAAAACTGCAAAACAAGGGGAAAATGAGGAGAAGAAGGAGGAAGAGGAGCAGAGAGAGAATAATCGAGAAAGAAAAAGGAAACAACAAAAGAAGGAAATAAGTGGTTGAAAAGAAAAAAGGAGGAGTAGGAATAGGATGAGGTGAGAGAGATAGAGAGAGAGAGAAAGAGAAAGAGAGAGAGAGAGAGAGAGACAGAGAAAGGCAGAGAGAGAAAAAATCACCGAGAAAGAAGAAAGAAAGCCGAAACTACAAATGAAAGGAAAAAGGAGGAGGGTGAGGAGTAGAGAGAGAATAACTGAGAAAGGAATCCGAAACTAGAAAAGAAAGGGAAAAATATGGAGAGAGAGAGAGAGAGAGAGAGAGACGAAACGGGAGCGAATGAGCGAGTAAGTGCGAGTGTGTGTGTGTGTGTGTGTGTGTGCGTGCGCGAGAGAGAGAGAGAGAGAGAGAATGAGAGGGTGAAAGTCGAAGATGGGATTATACTCAATCCTTTAATTTATCAATTCGAATAAACGTCAATTCATTTATGTCCCCAGTTGAGAAATTGACGTTGATAACTTCAGTTGTGTTATTTTATGCAAGTCATTTGTTAATATTGATTTAATTTTCCATATAAAACAGTTTAAGGTAATTTATATATATTTTCTTTTAGGTTGAAAACGCAAATCACAAAATTTTATATGTCCAGTTAAGGGAAAATAACTCCCACTATAGATTCAAAGACGCACATATATTAAAGAAAATTGAACAATGCAAATATAAGGGATGAATATTCTTATTTATTTACAAAGGGATGAATATTGTTATTTACTTCATTTTCCTTCGTCATAAATGTTAAACTTATTTAAGTTTCAGCTCTATTCTCTGAATGACATTCAATGTTAACAGCGCGTCTGAAATTTTACGACAAAGGCTATAATAATGATATTTACATAAATGAACAACGATAATCCATATAATTTGGTGTAAACACACAAATCCCGGGAGAAATCTAAATAGTTTTTCATCAGTGCGGGAGAATAGTGATTTATAGAATTAAAAGGTTGCGTGTTGGTCCATTTTAGGTGTGTGTGCATGTTTATATGTAACCAACTAAAAAAGAAACATACAAAAAATTGGGTTTCTCACTCGGACCGTTTATTCTCTTTTTTTATATAAAACTGTAGTGAAACAAAGTTCTCAATGTGTCTTAGTTATGTCCATTTTCATTTTTAGTCAAGAATTTAGAGTAAGTATAAGCATCGTTATAATCTCAGCCTTGCGCAAAGTTGGTACGACCAAAGAAAATTTTGTACATACTTCATCGTTGGAGGTTAAAGCGTGATTATAATTGTTGAACTAAATTCAACTTTGCGCCGAGTCGGAACGACCAAAAGAAAATATTGATTTACTTCATAGGTAGAGCTTTTGGATGACATATGCAAACGTTATACGTTGGAAAGTGGAAAGTGAGTTCATTCGTCACTGGAAAATATTTGTTTTTTTTGGACGTTTGACGAAGCCAAGTGGGATAATCATATTTCAGGTTCATTTAAAACTAGAATCTTTTTATTATTAATTATCATCCAATTGATTTTATTTCATTTTTCCCGTAGATTTATACTGAACTGGAGGAAGAAAGTTTTCTTTTTATCTGAACAGCAATATTGATATTAGCAAAACTCTGATGATGACTTTGAGATGAGAAGAAGCAGTATATTTTGGAGCTTCGATATTCAGCTAATTCACATAATGAGTCCAGAACATTAAATAAATATTAAAAAATAAAAATTAGCATCCCAAAGAGAGGTTAATATTAATATTCTTACCAGAAATAGGGACATATATTGTTGATGTCCATGCGATATATCTCTTATATATATATATATATATATATATATATATATATATATATATACACTCAATTTGACAAACATTGGAGGGTTAATGTTAATGCAATTGTGGTAACTTTTGACTTGCAGAATGAAATCAGATATAGAGGACTTCTGACAAAGATGTTCAGTTGTATATGCAACTTCATACACACATCGGAAAAAGGACTTTTTATTTTCTTCCGCTTTCATTCTCAGTAGATATTGGATTTAAGTGCATCCTGTGATCGACATTGAGATTTAACAACTCGTCTTAAAACTCAAGAACAACGGAATAAAAATGATTGTAAATTTGGAGATGTTATATTATCTTGCTACTTACAAGTGAGGCGCTGATAACTTAATAAGCCTTTATTAACAATAAGGTATATACAGTGAGTTTATGTGTTAAGCCCAATGCTGTTGAGTATGTAAGTCGGAGTGTTTTTATAGTATCCCTACGCCATGGTGTTACACTGGTTATGCGTAGGGAAATAGTTCCGTGATACTGCTACAATGATATTTACATAAGTGAACTAGAATAAATATAATTTATTGTAGGTACACATATTCTAGAGGAATTCAACATAATTTCCAGTGCAAGTATGAGAATGGTAAGTCACAGAGAACTCTGTAAAACAATATGGTATATATGGCATAAACAAATAGGATGAGCCAAATCATGTAGCCACATTTGAGAAGAGACAATATATTTTTGAACTTCGATATTGAGACAAAACTTTGAAGACCAGAGTTAGTGGTTGCAAATAAAGAAAATATTTCTAATTATGAATGTGGTTACTGCAGAAAATCATATGTTAATACTGATTTAATCTTCCATAGAAAGCACTTCGAGATAATATTCACTTTTTTCTAGTATAATAGAATCAAATATGCAAAACAGAAAATTTTATTTGTTCAGTTAAAAGAGAATTCATTCTCAGCACATCATTCAAAATCTCTCATACTTTAGATAAAGAAACATCGTTAGAAACAAAAATAATTTTATGCAATATCTGTACCTGTACGTCTGTGAGTGTTGGATAATTTTCCTCACAGGTGAAGAGTAAACCTGAGGCAACGGATATATAGTTCTACAGAAGGATGTTGAGAATTACTTGGACGGGACATGTGGGTAACAGAAGAGTTTTAAGATAATTGGGAATGGAAAGCACACTTAGATTTAGAATTCGAAAGAGACATTCGAAAATTATGCAACACACAATGATTAAATAGGGCTTGGTGAATTTGACACTCACGGAATATTTTGAGTAAGAAGGGCAGATATAAACAGTGAGAAACCTCTCTGGGCAATTAATATCAATGGATGGAAAAAAAGAAATAGGTATCGGATAAATAATGCTTAGAGCTATCAATGATAGGAAATTGTGGAGAGCCATGATTACGTATTTGATCGCTTGTATTTTCTATCAGTGCATCGTTTCATGTTTAACTAACATTACACATTTCGAGTTCCAACGACTTCACTTTGTTTTCTCCCGTCGTAGATCGCATTGGTATGAGGCCATTCTTTTCGTTTCATATGGATACCCAGTTTCACGTTGGCGATCTAAAATGCGAAATCTAAAAATCTAAAATGAAACTTACCCGGAGCTATTTTGCCGATTCACAGGTACGGCATATTACTTCAGCCAATTCGTAAAAACGGCGATGAAATTATAAGGGGGATAATTAGTAGAGCAAAAATACTTAAAATATAATAAAAAATAGTAAGATTTTTAAGCATACGCAAAAGTTCTCAATATATGCCATGAGCTTTTGCGTGTATTTTTGAAAACAACAGACAGATACGAAAAAAAAAAAATTACAACATAAAAACGTTAAAACCCTTTTCAGAGCATGATAAATAAAAGTGAACAAAACTTTTTCAATGTACGCGTAATAAATGCCGACAGAGCCTTTTTCATAGCATACATTATAAAATCAAACAAAGCATTTTCATAGCACTCATAATAAATGCGGTCAAAGTCTTTTCAGAGCATGATAAATAAAAACGGACAAAACCTTTTCATGGCACGCATAGTAAAAGCAGACAAAAATTTTTGGAACAAGTATAATAAAAGTGGACGAAGGCTTTTCAGAACAAGCATGATAAAAGCGGAAGAGGCCTTTTCTTAACACGTATATTAAAAGCTGACAAAACCTTTTCACAACAAGCATAACTTAAGCGGACAAAGTCTTTTCAGAGCACGCATAATAATAGTGGACAAAGTTTTTCAGAAGAAGCATAATAAAAGCGGCCGATGTCTTTTCAGAGCACGCATAAGAGGACAAAGTTTATTATAATTATTATTATTATTATTATTTTACATAATGAATTTTAATGTGACATTATTTTATGACAAACCATATTTTAAAGTATATTGGTGTTTGAGTACTTCAGTAGATATTCACTTTCTTTTTCAAACAATGAGTTTAATGAGTGCGAGCTAAGACATAGAAAGACTTATCAAAGAAAATGTACCTTTTTGCAAGGATCAAATCTGGATCCCTTTTTTGTCAGGACAGACCACCATTTATCAAGTGTGTGCATCATATAGCCACAGAAATCTCTAATGTAAGGCATGACTTAATTACCCTAATTATGAAATGCACATCTTCCATGTGAATTTTAATGATTATGTGTGCAAACTATATTTTCGTATTCCAAATATAATCACGGTGATTTAAAAAAATTATAGATCTTGATTTAAAATTATTCCTAATTAATTGATTTTGATTTGACATTATTTTAATTAATATAAACGAGTATTACATTTGCTTTAAGAAAAATCGTTGTCTTGGCCGGTAGACATAAATGTCATTGTTTTAAAAAAACGGAAATCTAGTTACATACGTGTATCTACTAAAATAACGTTTATACCAAAAGAATATTCATCTCTATATGTTTCCGTTTCGTTGTTAGCTGTTCATTCTCTAATATTTTTAAAAAATATGTAATTGACCGATACAGACTCTTGGTTTGTCTATAATTTTGTCGAATGCAGATGCCTTGTTGTCCTAACCATTTCTGTTGATTCACTTGGTTTCACCGAATTGTTTTTTGGGGGTCAGTGACAACCATTGGTCGATTTGAGGTTATATTCTAATTTCATTGTTTCAGTTTTTGTATAATTTTATCTGCCACTTTAAACGGTATTAGGTCATTTTTAAATCCATGTTTTTCTATAAAATTTGTATCAACCAATGATTTCTGGTAAAATTTCCATCATATATGGTAAAGTTATTAAGTGATGAGAATGACACATTGCACCTTCTCGGGCTAACGTTATCCTCTGACATGAAGAGTGTAGTTTGTATTAAATCAATTGCTAGATCTAATGCTAGGAAAGTTGCTTCACTGTGTGAAGACAATTATTATGTTCAGATATTTACAGTTATTGTATTAGACAATTTTTCTTGCCATAATCTATTTTGCTCATTTATAATTCTACCATTTATCC